TTCTTTTGTCTGTGACTTGCAGGTTACCCCACTTTACAGGCCACCATGGTTTCTCAGCACAGCCAAGGGCAAATCATTGGTGCCTCTTGGCTATTCAACATCAGTGGAAATTACTCCTTCATCTTTAACACAATGACTATGACCTGGAAACTGATTAACCTTGTACCAGGGCATATTGTGAATGAATGGAAGAATAATGAGGGCCTAATAAAAGATCCGAGGATCTCCATAGCAGAATACAGTCACTGGCTCTATGATTTCTTCAAACAACACAAGGAAAGGCCTAGTAGGTATTACCTAGATTATCAGAAGGTACTTCATCTAATTTGATAGACTGAATGAATGATTTCAGTAGTGTTCCTGTCTGAAGAGCCAGTGGTGATCACGAGGATTTCTCATTCCATCTCACACCCCTATTAACCAGTGGTCCAGGCTCTACATGGCCTGCTAATGAGCCCCAAGTCTGTGTGCATCACTGTAAACTTTTAGCCTTTTCATCCTCAGGTATAGCTGCCCTTCCTCCAGCTCCACCATCACTTTGAAGGTCTTTGTTTCCTTTCTCTGGCACAATTGAACACCACCAATTTTCCCAACATCCAGAAAGTTCTATTCACAGGACATATATCAAATTGGTCGATGGACATTAACTTATCTTTGTAATGAAATAAGCTCTGAAAAGACATGATATATATCACTCCCAATCCTCACTCTACTGAAGACTTCGTAAAACATTCATTATACATGAGTCCCTTTGGCTGCCTGGGAAGAGAAGGTATTGATGGAAGTGTATTTTTAAGTTTATCCAGAATTTCCCAATTACCTATTTTAATGATCAACATCAAGGGCCCCAGATATCAGCCAACTTTTATTACCTACCCAGCTTCCACAACCAGCCATTTTCAGTATGAGAAAATATTTATCCCTGTGGGATTCATCTTCATAGTCTTTATTATTCACATTTGCATATATATGATGAGGAAATTTTGTACCCAAGGAGGTAAGAAGCAGGCTGGGGTCTCATCTGTCCTTGGAAGTGTTGTTCTGCAGGGGACTTACAATAGGTCTCCCACTGGATCCTAAGGATGGGAATTCCGGTCCTCATGCTTTCATAGTAAGTGCCTTTACCCATCTTTCCAGTAACCAAAACTGACCTATTGAGAGTCTGACTTCCAGTTCAATAAACTATCTTCTGCTCAGACCATGAGAACTGACTAAGACAAGCTTGTGAGCACCTCACTTGCATGCACTCCTAACATGACCCATGCAGGGACACTTACCCTATATTTATTCTTAGAACAATGCAAAGATATTTTCACACAGTTAGGACTGACCATTTACTCTCTCTGCCATACTACCCTCCAGGTTACATGCAATAATGGCTGTTGACCCTAGATATGGGTCTGTCTGAAAAGTGGTTTGGAGGCCTGGTACTCTAGATCACCTACATTAGTCAGGTTCATGATACGTCAGGGTACAAGCTAAGCAATGACTTTGAGACTTCTCTGCTGGGGTAAAGAGCTAATTACTTTCAGACGGGAAGTCTGGAGACCGTTGGATCTCACTGCAAGACCTCCCCAGACAGAAATCAGCAGCAGCCTGTGGACTGCTCCATCTACGCTCACAAGCTACAGAGGAAAGAGGAGCCAAAGGATGCAGAGGAGAGTTACCCAAACAGGCCACCAAAAGGTTGTCCAAGAAGGATAAGCCCAAGATATGGGGGATAAAAGCATATACCAGACTTCTGTATCACCTCATCCAAGAACCAGAAAACACCTTACAAGATGGAGCAGTAAGATGTAAGATAAGTTAGGGTGAATGATGTGAAATGCTGTTTTCCAAGCATGTCCTCGCTGTTGCTCTGTTGAACTCTGAGCAGCTCTGAGATCTTGTATGATCCTTGCACAAGAGCAGGCCTGTCAATCATCTCTTCATGGATCCAGAGAGTATTATGAGGCTCTTCAATCCCTGAGAATCTATCTGTATTAGTTAATTAGTTAATTAATTAATGGTCCAGGACCTGGAGAGACGTTGTGCCCACTGATATTGTCACAAGTAAGGAGCCCATGTTTCTGTAAATAACTCCTTACCCAAACCTCTATAAATAACCCCAAATGAAATCATTTGGTCAGAGAAATTTAGAAAGCACCCATGAAAGAAGAGGACCAGTCACTGTGAAGAGTAAAGAGATGAAGGGAATGACCAGGGAGCATGAAGTGATTGAAGTGTTTATGTGATCAAAATATCTTATACACACATATATGAAAACACAGTGAAGCTAACTATGCAGTATAATCACTGTGCTCATGCATTGTTAAAAGACTGACTAATTTTTACTTTCAATGTGTATAAGTATTTTGACTCTGGTTTTATGCTTACATGACATGTGTAGCTGGTGCTTGCAGAGGCCAGAAGTTGGCATGGATTGCCTGGAAGGAGTTACAGAGGGTTGGAAGTACAGGAAACTGAACCCAGGTCCTCTCCAAGAACAGCAAGTGTTCCTAACTGCTGAGCCTTCTTTCAAGTCCTCTAATAGATTTCCAAAAAAGACAATCTAGCCTGAATATCATTAAAGACAGAGAAAGCCCTACAAAAAACTTCACAATAAAGTTCAATGTTTCAGAATAGACACATTTTAAAATGACCGTGGAGTGTAATGGCCAGTTATGACATCATTTGTAGAAATTTATCAACGGAGGCTTGGTGAGAAGGGCTCACAGGTACTTCTAACAACTATTCCTGGTAATTTAATAATATCTAAGGTAAATATGTTATGTGCTGGTAGTTTTATGTTAACTTGACATAAGCTAATGTTGTATATGAGGGTGAAACTCAGTTTTAAAATGCTTCTATAACATCAAGCTGGCGGCAAGCCTGTGGGCATTTTATTAACTAGTGATCAATGGGGCCAGGTGGACTCCATTACAGTCATTCTTTTCTTTAAGGGAAACCATGAAGGGAAAACTAGTAAGCATCACCCACCCGTGGCCTCCGCATCAGCTCCTGCCTCCAGGTTCCTGCCGCCTTTGAGTCCTGTCCTGACTTCTTTCAAAGAACAAATAGTGATTTGGAAATATAAGCCAAATAAGCCCTTGCCTTCCCAAGTTCCTTTGGTCATAATGTTTCATCATAGCAACAATAACCCTAAGTAAGACAAGTTGGTACCATGATAGCATGTGGTATTGCTGCAGCAGACCTGGACATGTGTTTTGAGGCAGTTTGTAGGAGTTTGGACCTCTGAGCTAGAAATTCCACTGAGCGCTGAGAGGTAACTGGTCCATTCTTCAGGACTGTGGATGATAGGAATGTTGCAAGCAGTGTAGACAATGGAGGCCTGGCTTGTCAGGTTTAGGAAAGCAGATGCTATCAAGCCATCTGAGTTAAGAACCAATGGTTTTGGGTAGCTGAGACTGAAGAATCAGAGTATCAGCTGTAATTAACAAGATTCCAGAAATACTTTAGTGAAACCTTTACTTTGCTGGTATACTGGATGTTATTCAGCTGGAGCTGAGAAATTAGAAGGAAGAGAGGACCACCATTGAGGTGAGATCATCTGGAAAGCGTTTTCTGAGAATTAGCACACAGAAGCTGTGTTCCAGACATGAACAAGGTTGGACCTTGTGGTGACAGTCAAACTAGGAGGTGTAAGAGCCAGCCTGGTGGTGTTGGTTTTGAAGGTGTGAAGGGGTCATGGAGAACAGGGGAGGCTTGGCACTGTGTGGCAGTGTTGGAGTCCATGAAGAGAGCCCTGGACAGGCTCCTAGTGAACGTGTGCTTGGAGCAGAAGACTCCAGCATTCTGGAGATGCCCGTGCTATGGGATGACCACCTAGAGTGTCAGCATTAGTGGATGGAGCCAACCAGAGTCTAGAAGCAAGCTGTCTCTACTGCAGGGGTCAAGCTGGAGAAGTAGCTCAAGTGCTGATGGGGAGCTGGGTGTAGGGCGACCTTGGGCCCTGTGTTCAGGTCTATTATACTCATGGTTCTCAGGAGAGACTAAGGGCCTCTTCCCAACCAAGACTTCCTGGTGAAGCCAGATTCCTAAAGACCCGATGAAGAGCTAAATATAAGAAAAGGGAAGGATTGGAAAGTCCCAGCTGAGCACCTGAGACACAAAAGGGGGATGTTATCCCCCAAGAACAGTAGATTCCTAAGCTGTCATAGTAAGATTCTATTGCTGTGTAGAGACTACATAACCATGGCAACCTTATAAAGGAAAGGATTTAATTGGGCCTAGCTTATAATGTAAGAGGTTTAGTCCATTGTAAGTATAGCAGGGAGTATATGGCAGCATGCAGCAGACATGGTGCTAGAGAAGTAGCTGAGAATTCTACATCAGAATCTACTGGCACAGAAAGAGACACTGAGACACTGACCTGAGCCCACCCTCAGAGATACACTTCCTCAGCTAGGCCACACCTACTCTAACACACTTCCTCATCCTTAAAGTAGTGTCACTTCCTGATGGTTTGGTTTTCAAATACATGAGTCTCTGCGTTCCATTCTTCAAAGCAGGACCTGAGACCACCACTTCTGATTCCCTCCTGAGTTCTGCACCTCTTCTCCACACAGACTGCTGGCCAGATCCCTGGTTGGTTTTCTAATGCCCATTCGTCTCTACATTCACAGAGCATCTTTTAAAAAGCCAGCATCCATACACCGAATGTCAAGAGCTGTGCAGACAATGCCTCTTTTACTCTTTCACTCTGTCTGCTGAGAGTAACACTAAGACATGTGATCATATGAACCAATTATGTCTTTTGAAAAATAGGGTTGTATCAGAGTTTTGACCAGGTGATATGCATTCGTGCATGTACACACATGCAGACACACACACACACACACACACACACACACACACACACACACACACCAGAAATAGAACTTTTGACAGCCCAAAGTACCAACTGCACAAACATCCAACTTGGGAATCCACTGAGTTTTCTTTGGGGTTGCTAACAGGAGTGGGGTTAGAGGTTACTTACAGGAGCTGGGGTGACTTACCAACAGCTATGTCACTGCAGTGCCCACCTTGACGTGTGACTCCGGAAACAGCAGAGCTGAAACCACAGGGACAGGTTTGGAATTTTCTCTGAAGCTGGGTTGGCCAGAGCCTTCTCAGACTATAGCCTTGGAGGGTCATCTGAAGCTTTTAAGTTCCTCTTTTTCATACCCAGGAAGTTTACTCATTTCCTGAGTGTGAGGACCCTCTCCTATCCTCTAAAGAGAGTCCTGCTGTCAGAGAGAAGCAGTTAAAAGCAGCAAATGACATTTCCATGAAGGCAGAGGGATTTGTCTTACAGAGAAGGCAATGTTTGAAGCAAGGCTAAAGAGGCAACTCTGCAGAGGACCCAGGTTAGCTGATTTCCAGCCCCTACCTTGTCTGTAATACACTGAGATCTTACTTCAGGGCTGAAAGTGGCAGCAGGCAAAAGTTTTGCTAATGCTTTAAGATGTCTTCTGTTTCTTTAGGAAGGTGTTCCTCAGCAAAAACCACTTCAGAACTTAACACTTCTGTCTGCAACCAATGAAAAGGGCAGGAAGTAGGGCAGAGCTGTGTTTATAAGTATCAATTTCAATCATCTCTCATAACACTCAGAAGTCATGTGGGGTTCTCCAGAGTAACCTGGGAGCTTCAGACACTCAGGAGCTTCAGACATTCAAATCTGAGAGTCCAAATCAAGTCCTGCTTCTTGAGTCTGTGAACACACTACACACAGCAAGCTCTGCTCTAGAGCAGTGGTTCTCAGCCTTCCTACACTGTGACCCTTAAATACAGATCCTCTTGTTGCGGTGACCCCCCAACCATAAAACTATTCCATTGCTACTTCATAACTGTTTTTTTCTAGTGTTAGAATAGAATTTAATATCTGATATATGAACCACTCCAATGGGGTCATGACCAACAGGGTGAGACCCTCTGCTCTAGACTGCAGAAGGTTAATGTCTGACTAGAAGATGAGGTATGTTGCACAGAAACTAGTTTTTAAGGAGGACAGCTTCCTACTTCAGTCTTAATTCAAAAGTCACTTTCCTGTTATTACTTTGTAAACAAGTTGCCTTGCTTGGGAAGGGCTTTGGACAGCTTCAGTTTCCAAATATGGAGTCATTGCTATTATGAGGACTAACAACAGAAATGGGTTTTAAAATAATGTAGTGAAAGACAATTCTGAAAAGCAAATACTTTTCCAGATGAAATGATAGTACACTTAAGTGACTCCAAAACTTTCACCAGAGAACTAAACCTTATGAACAACTTCAGCAAAGTGGCTAGATATAAAATCAACTCAAACAAATCAGTAGCCTTCCTCTACTCAAAGGATAAACAGACTGAGAAAGAAATTAGGGAAAGGACACCCTTCACAATACTCACAAATAATATAAACTCCCTTGATATGAATCTAACCAAGCAAGTGAAAGATCTGTATGACAAGAACTTCAAGTCTCTGAAGGAAGAAATCTAAGAAGATCTCAGAAGATGGAAAGATCTCCCATGCTCATGGATTGGTAGGATTAATATAGTAAAGATGGACATCTTTCCAAAAGCAATCTACAGATTCAATGCAATCCCCATTAAAATCCCAACTCAATTCTTCACAGAGATAGAAAGAGCAATTTGCTAATTCATTTAGTATATCAAAAAACCCAGGATAGCAAGAACTATTCTCAACAATAAAAGAACTTCTAGGGGAATCACCAACCCTGACCTCAAGCTGTACTACAGAGCAATAGTGATAAAAACTGCATGGTATAGTACAACGACAGGGAGGAAGATCAACGGAATAGAATTGAAGACCCAGAAATGAACCCACACTCCTATGGTCACTTGATCTTTGACAAAGGAGCTAAAACAGTCCAGTGGAAAAAGGACAGCATTTTCAACAAATGGTGCTGGTTCTACGGGAGGTCATCATGTAGAAGAATGCAAATCGATCCATTCTTATCTCCTTGTACAAAGCTCAAGTCCAAGTGGATAACAGACCTTCGCATAAACCAGATACACTGAAACTAATAGAAAAGAAAGTGGGGAAGAGCCTCGAACACTTGGGCACAGGGGAAAAGCTCCTGAACAGAACACCAATGGCTTTTGCTCTAAGATAGAAAATTGACAAATGGGACCTCATAAAATTGCAAAGTTTCTGTAAGGCAAAGGACACTGTCAATAGGACAAAACAGCAACCAACAGATTGGGAAAAGATCTTTACCAATCCTACATCTGATAGAGGGCTAATATCCAATATATACATAGAACTCAAGAAATTAGACTCCAGACAACCAAATAATCCTATTAATAAATGGGGTAGAGAGCTAAATAAACAATTCTCACCTGAGGAAACTCAAATAATTGTAAAGCACCTAAAGAAATGTTCAGTATCCTTAGTCATCAGGGAAATGCAAATCAAAACAACCTGAGATTCCACCTCACACCAGTCAGAATGGCTAAGATCAAAAACTTAGGTGATAGCAGATGCTGGCGAGGATGTGGAAAAAGAGGAACACTCCTCCATTATTGGTGGGATTTCAAGCTGGTACAACCACTTTTGAAATCAGTCTGTCAGTTCCTCAGAAAATTAGACATAGCATTTATTACCTGAGGACCCAGCTATACCACTCCTGGGCATATACCCAAAAGATACTCCAACATATAACATGGACACGTGTTTCAGTATTTTCATAGCAGCCTTATTTATAATAGTTAAAAGCTGGAAAGAACCCAGATGTCCTTCAACAGAGGAAATGTGGTACATTTACACAATGGAGTATTATTCAGCTTTTAAAATAATGAATTCATTAAATTCTTAGGCAAATGGCTAGAACTAGAAAATATCATCCTGAGTAAGGTAACCCAATCACAAAAAAAAAAAAAAAAAGCCATGATATGCACTCACTAGTAAGTGGATATTAGCTATTAGCACAAAAGCTTGCAATACTCAAGATACAATTCATAGACCACATGAAGCTCATGAAGAAGGAAGACCAAAGTGTGAGCACTTCGGTCCTTCTTAGAAGGAGTAGCAAAATACTCTTGGGAGCAAATATGAAGACAAAGTGTGGAACAGAGACTGAAGGAGGGGCCATTCAGAGACTGCCTCACCTGGGGATCCATCCCACGTGCAGTCACCAAATGCAGAAGCTGTTGTGGCTGCCAGGAAGTGCATGCTGACAGGAACCTGACATAGCTGTCTCCTGAGAGGCTTTGCCAGAGCCTGACTTACACAGAGGCAGATACTTGCAGCTAACCATTGAACTGATCACAGGGTCCCCAATGGAGGAGTGAGAGAGAATACTGAAGGAGCTGAAGGGGCTTGTGGCCCCATGGAGAGAGCAACAATACCCACCAACCAGAGCTCCCAGTGTCTAAACCACCAGCCTGGGAACACACATGGAGAGACCCATGGATCCAGCTTTATATGTAGTGGAGGATGGCCTTGTGGGGCATAGGTGGGAGAGGAGGTCCTTGGTTCCATAAAGGCTGGATGTCCCAGTGTGGGGAAATTTGAGGGCAGGAGGCGGGAGTGAGTGAATGGGTGGGGGCACAATGTCATAGAAGCAGGAGAAGGGAGGATGAGACAGGGAGTTCCTGGGGGGATTGGGGAAAGGGGATAACATCTGAAATGTAAATAAATAAAATATCCAATAAGAAATTAAAAAACAAACAAAAAAATAAATAAACCAAAAAAATTTGGTCCTGAATATGTATGTGATCGAGCAGGCAGAGAAAGTAGAAGGAGTTGGAGGGGTCAAAAGGAGGATGGAGTGATATAAATACAGTTATCACGAAAGTCTCAAAATATGTTTATTTTGATTTTGTTTAAAGAAGCCAGGTGACTTCCCAGAGATATAGGTCCTGTTTGGAGGTGTCTCACTGTCCCCCAAGGAATCTTCTGACCTGGAAACTGGGGTCAAAACATTGGCTTTATTCTTTGCCTTGTTATCTTAATTGATTTGGCTTCCAAGTGTGGGCTATGGAATGTGGAGAATACCAGTTGTGTCTGTATTGAAGAATAAATAGTTATTTGAACTCCAGCCTTCATAGACTGAAAGTACAAACAGCAATTGCATAGCTAGAGAAACAGGAAACTGCGAGAATGACAATGTGACTCTTTTGGAGAGGATGTGGACTGAGAACAGCCTTGAACTCATTCCCAGTGAGCCCTGAGCTTTGGCGTGGGCGTGGGCGTGGACACCTCACTTCGTGAGGCTAACTGATATAAATTTGTCTGACTGCAGTGGAAGGCATGGGCTTTATTCTGTGCGTCCTGATTCTGTTACAAATCAACTCTGAAGGGGCAGCTGCTGGTGAGTGAGGTAAAGGGACCTAGGTCCTTAAGAGGAAGGACCAGAGGCACCAGGTCCTGGAGGGATCCCCAGAAACAAGGAAGAAAAGGAACCTGCCTGGCTGGAGCACAGAAAGTCCTGATTTCACAGTCCAGGTGCCTGAAACATTTGTTTGTTTTGTTTTGTTGTTTTGTTTTTTAAGAAGAATGGAACTTAATCTTTATTTATGGGACACAACAGGGTGTATTTCCATATTGTTTTTCCCCTTGTTCTTCAATCTTGAATCTGTCAAGCTGAGAAGCTGGTGAATTAGCATTCTCGTTGGTGGACATGGCTGCAGGAACAAGGAGGAAAGCTACACTGGTGGCTCAGACTTCCACAAAGTCAGTGTGGTGGCTCTCAAGCTGCGGTTAGGCAGCTGTCAAAATGTCTACTAACCCTCAGCCCTCAGACTTTGCCTGAAACATTTGTGATTCTTTGTACTGGGTCTTTGCAGGGCAGTACTAAGGATGTCCCTATTCTCTCCGCAGCTCTGGTCACATTATGGCCAGATGGGTCTCAGGAAGAACCATGGCAAAGGCAGCAAACACCAAGCACAATCATCCCCTGACTCCAAGGCTTTAAATTCTCCTGAGCTGTAGGTGGACCATGCTGCTGACTGGTGAGTTCCAAGGGTCTCCAGGGAGAAGGCTGGGGCACAGAGCATGGCATGGCATAAGTTAGGAAGTTCCCAGTCCTGAGCTACCAGGAAGTTCCTGGGCTTCTTCTTCTTCCCTTAACTACCACAGTGCCTGGGAACCCTGGCTCTTCCTGGCTCTACCTCACCCAGGGCAGCAGATTGGAGAAGATAAGGGGAAAGGTATGGCATGAGGGAAGGGCAGGACTATGTGAATGAAGAGTGTAGGAGACAGAAGGGAACACCTCATGATACCCTCAGCACCACTGGGTCCATAGGAAACCTA